CACGGTTCGGTTTTGAAGGTGTGGGGGTGAGCAGGAATAAAGTTATTTTCTGCTTATACCCTGAGAATTCAGGATGTTCAGTGAGCCAGTTCCTCTTAGTTCCCAGAACACAATAGATCTGAGATCTGGTGGTCTGGAGCCTGGGAATCTCATCCTGGCTCTGACCTTTTCCCAAGACTTTTAAGCCTTTTAAAAGTCTCAGATGGATTCTGTGTAGCAGAGATGGTTTTATCTACTTAGCAGATCATGATGTTGCTGGAAGAAGCAAAGCCTGGTGGTGAAGAGTATAGGCGCCTAACCCTGATTGCCAGCGTCAGAATCTTGGCTCCCTACCCTGTGCATTTATGACATTGGACAGGTTAAAGTCTCTTTTGCCTCAGTTTCTTCAAATGTAAAATGGAGAGAATGATAATATCTGTCTCATGTGGCTCTTGTGAGGATTAAATGAGAGAATCCATGCAAAGCCCTTAGCACAGTGTCTAGTCTATGATGAACCTTCAACCAACGTTAGATATTTTTATGTTTAAAATACTTTCAACACTTTAGAAGAAAGGTGCTAGTCAAACCTATGATACAGATAGAAACTATCCCCCCCCGCCCCTCATACATTTACTTCCATCCTGTTGAGGCTTGTAAACTCAACATTTTCTTTTCTTTTGCAAAATACAAGCTGTTCCAGCAGTTCTTCGCACCAGATCCAGAGTGTTTCATGCCGTCCTTGGGATTTTGTGAGAGCTGTTTTGGAAGTACCTTTTAAGAAACTGCACTGGTTGGAACTGATGCTCAAGCTTTGCTCTAAGTGTAGAAAACTTCCGAGCTCCTGTCCTGTGGAACTGGAGAGGGCAGCTGGAGGCTATCCAAAGGAGAGGATAGATTCCAGCCCAAGAAGCCTTCTTCTGGCCAAGAGGGGTGGGCACGGGGAAAATGAAGCCTGAAGGGAGGTCAAAGAGGAAAGTGAGTGTAGGGGCTGGGAATGATTATCCAGGAGCAGATATGGGTCCAGAAGCTATTCACAGGGGCGACAAGAGCCCTTTCCGTCTTGCCTCTGTTCAGGTTTAATAGTGAACTTACTGCCAATGTCCTGAAGAAAGGGTGAGAGGGTGAGGAGTGCTGCCCCAGAAACTGCCTTACAGACTTCCATCCTCTCCTATCTCCAGGCCCAGTGCGAAAAAGATTCAAAGAAATTCCTTTGGCTCCCAGAAGAAAAACAACTCTCCAGCTCTGATCTTGCTAGATGGGAGTTCCTCTTCTCCTTATCCTGAAAAAGGAAAAAAACCTTATATTTATATCATGCTTAATTACTTTCAAGCAATTTCATAGACACAATCTCATCTGAGGAAGGAGAAAGTTGAGGCCATTAGGCTACACAAAGTTTGTCCATTATCAAGTATTTCCTAAGTCTGACTCCAAAGCTTATATTAGGTTGGCTCTTTTAAGAATTCTAGTGGGAGAATACTGTAATCATGATTAATATCACCACCATCAAACATATATTTAAAATCCTACTCTACTAGTTTGAATAGCATTAAAATCAGTGGAATGTCTTTAAAGGAATTTTTTCATGTGCCTGTTAAGTGGGCCTTAGTTTAGATGTGGGCAACTATCTCATACATAGGGAAATTTCATTAAAGATTTCATAAGCATCTTCCATTCTCACTTCACCTTTCTTCATCTCTTCTGGATGACCGTATTCTAGTTCCCTCCCCCTGCCCTCTTCTAACCAGCTTGTCCCTTGACCTACCTCAGGTGGGGAAGTATTCACTGACTGGGAACTGCTAACTCTTAGCAATCTAGCCATCACCTCCCCAGTTGGAACTTGCCGCTTCAAGGAAAAGGACCTTGTAATCAGAGTAATTGGAATTTTCGTATCAGAAAGATGTTTATATGCTCGAGTTCGAGGCCTGGGAGATGTAGCAGTAAGTAATGTATGAGCCCTCCAAGGAGGTGGGTAAAGATGGAATCTGGAGCCCAAGGAGAAGGATTATATTGATTCCACACACACTGTCTCAGGTATCATTTGTAGAGTTTGTGTTTGTATTAATCATGTTTTTATATTTTTCATACTTTATGATGTTTTGACATCTTAGGGGTCTTGCTGGTAGGGGATAGGCTGCCCCTCTCAGAGCTGACTAATTTCTAGACATTGCAAACCAACTTCCTTTTGATTACAATTTTCCTATGCAAATCAACCAATCCAAAGCCCACATCCCGGTCACCTTCATTTAACTCTCAGGCACCAAGCCACCATCTTCCCTGCTGTTATCACCTCAGGGCCAAGTCAGCTAGACTGGACAGCTAGAGGCCAGTCCTATGGCCCAGAGCCTGCTGAAATTATTCAAGCTATCCAAGCCTAAGTTTCCTCCAGCTTTCCTAACTGCCTAATCCATTCCTTCCTCAGAAACCACAGTAGTGTCTGAGGGTCGTTCTCTCTCCTCTCTCCTTCTGCCTCCTGACTGACCTGGTGCTTCCCCATGGGCCGTGCGTGGTGTGGCCTGCCCCCTTCCCTTGCTATAAGCTCTTCTTTCAAAGGCAGTTGTCTCTGTGTGTGCCACCTTAACCATACCAGAGTAAAACAAATCCCAGGTACAGGTCTTAGAACGGTGTTAATGATTTCAGCATTTAAAATGAAAGCCAGTGTAACTTTCTACTCCGGCAGGTGATTAAGCACAATTTGAGTTGGTTCTACATGTTTCTTCAGTATTGGCTGGAGTCAGGCAGTCCTTGCATGATCTCTGGCTAGACAGCCTTTCTGGAAGTGGGCTGTGTAGTTTGGCTGCCAGGCCTTTACACATGCTTTGCTGAGGTTTGTACGAGTGAGCTTGGTGCTCTTTGGACCAAATTAGACATCTCTAAAGTCATCTCTGGCTCCAGCATCATATTATTTAGAAATAGCGGTATCATTTGGCACTGTTGGTCACTCCATCCTTGAAATTGTCTTTCCTTGGTTTCCATGACATCATGTTCTCTTGGATTTTCTTCTGCTTTTTTGATTGCTCTTTTTAAAAAACTCCTCTGTGCATTCCTTTTCCTCTGCCTAGCCTTTATTTTTTTTTGAAAACATTTATTGAATAAATAATGCATATATGTGTTTAAGGAAAGTATTAAAAAAAGTAAAAGTTTGCTCCACCTCTGTCACCCAGTTCCACAGACTCTTAATTTGATTACAAGTGTGTGTGTGTGTGAGGGTGTAAAACTATAGGACATACACAAGCACACACATATGCTCATACACACATGATACTCTGTGTGTTTTTATATGTAAATGCTATCGTACTGTAACATTTATTTATTCACTCATTCTTTAACAATTTACTGCATGCCGGACACTGTTTAGATCCCGGGAAGACCATGTGAGTAAAGTAGACAATTTTCATAGAGTTTATATTCTGTTGGGAGGAAGAGACAATTTAAAAGAAAGTCATTTAAAAGAAAGAGAATTTTCAGTAATGAGAGATGATTAGAATTTAAAGTGTGCTAATGTGAGAGAGGACAGACAGGTGACATGTAGGGTGCCCAGCGAGGGCCTCTCTGAGAAGCCAGTATCTGAGCCAAGACGGCATCTGCGTGATGAAGAGCAGCATTTCAGGAGTGGACATAATAAGGAAAAGGCCAGAATCAAAGATGGGCCAGAATCAAGGATGACTCCTTAGTACATACTTCCATGTACCTTGCTTTTTCATTTAATAGCATGTATGAGAGATGGTTTCAGGTCTATAACAGATAGAACTGCTTCATTCTCTTTAGCAATTGCATAAGATTCCATTATAGGGATAAAACCATAATTTATTTCATCAGTCCCATACTGCTGTTTAAAAAATCTTTAATCTTTTGCTGATGCAAGTAATGCTGGCATAAATATTTTTGAATATACATGTTTGTCCACAAGGCAAATACATTGGTAAGGTCAAACTCCCAAAGTAGAGTTATTGGAACAAATGATATGTTCTTTAATTCTCATTTTAATTGATGTACACAATTGGCCTCCATAGAATTGAACAAATATATTTTACCACCAACTCTGTATGAGGGAGTCTGTTGTAAATATCCTCCGAACTCTGTGTTCACATTTTTGAGCAGGAAGTGCTCTAAATAGCATTTTCTAATTTTATTTTGCATTCCTCTTATGAGTGAGGTTGAAACTCTTTTCCTGTTTAAAATCCATTTGCATTTCCTTTTCTGTGAACTCTCTATTCATATCCTTTGCCCATTTTTCTTTGTGATTGTTAGTCTTTTTCTCATTGATTGGCAAAAGTTTCTTATGTATTAATGAAATGAACCTCTTTCATACATTAGGTATGATCTTCCCAGTTTCTCTTTTCTCTTTTCATTTTGTTTAGGGTAGTGTCCCAGGAATGAAGTTTTTGCTTTATTAATATAGTTAATAAATTATGCATTTGTGTCATACTTAGACAGTCATCCATCCTTCATTGTTGGTCTTCCTCAGAGTCCTATCTTGGAACTGCTCTGTTCTTCCTCTGCTCACTCTCCCTGGATCATCTCAGCCGTGTCAGTTGCCATTGATGTGTGGATGATTTCTAAGTATGTTTCTCCTGACACATACCCAACTGCCAAGTGTACATCTGCACAGCCCAGGTCAACATAATCAATACTGAACTCATCATTTCAACTTTGTCCTGTATTCAGACTGGTCACTCTTCCTGGGTACTCCATCTCAGTGAGCCCAATGTGTCATCTTTTCCAGATCAGATAATCTATATCATCAGTGAATCCTTTTTTCCTTTTATCCCTAAGCATTCAATCTGCACTAAATTCTATTATATCTACCTTCTAAATATTTCTCAAATCTGTCCATTTCTCTCCATTTCCATTACCACTTACCTAAAATGGGCCAAGATCATCTCTAACCTGTGTTTCTACACTAGCTTCCTAATAAATATACTTTCTGTCATGTCCTTCTTCAATTCTTTCTCTACACAGTAGTCAGAATGTTCAGACTGGATCATATCACTCCCCTGCTTAAATATCTTCAATGGCTTCTCTCTTTTCTTCTTCTCCTTCTCTTCCTCCTGCTTTTTTCTCCTTTCCCTCCTCTATATTCTCATTCTTCTTTAGGGTAAAATCCAAACTCTTTAACATGGCATACAAGGCTTACATGATCTGGCCTGCATTTGTACCTCTAGCATAACCTCTTAATACCTCTCAGCACACAGCACCCCACTTCCCAACATCACCATCAATAAGAATCAGTCCTCTTGACAAGTCCTTGGAATGTATCATGGCCTCGTACCTTGGGGCATTTGCACATGCTGTTCCCTTTGCCTGGACTCTCCTTTCTCAGCTATCTTTGTCTGGCTCTAGCTATCACAACGTGCCCTTAGATCTTACACATTACTTCTTCCATAACCTCCTGATGCTCCCACCACCCCAAGACCAGGCACAATGCTTCCAACAGGATCTTGTCACACCATAGTACTCATCACTTAGTAATGCAGTGCCTGTTTATTTGCCTGAATCCCCTAGCAGATTTCAAGCTCCACATGGGCCTCACCTTCATCACTCCAATAATTTGGAATGCCATGTTAGGTATACAGTGGCGTTCGATCAGAGTTGAATCCTTAACTCTCCAGTCGCTGGCATGGAACCATCACTCAATAAACAGTTATTTGTTGCACGTATGGATGAAGGAATAAATTTTAGAATTTTCCTAATGTAGCCTAAGTTTTGTGCCAATTTGTTCGCTTTACTATAGGATATATTGATGTAGTAACACTGTATAGAAATAGTCACATTGAGGGAATTTCTCTAGTCAGTTTTACAAGGCAGAGTGTTTAGTAACTCTTCCTTTTAACGTCTCCTCACTTTATCTTTGACGGTAATATCTCCACCCAGCTACCGAGGTAGATGAGAGCACGTCAGTGCGCCCCTGCTCTTGTGCTGCGTGGTAGAATTCCCTTCCACTTCACCCCAGAGCCTTCAGGAGACATCCTTCAGGTATTCATCCTGGGGGTAGAGGGGAAGAAGTCTCTCTGATTCACTGAGGCACACCAGTATTATTTGTCTTAAATAGTAATTTTTATATATAAGTGTAATATCCACTGAAAATGATTATGAGAAATTTGGAAAATATATAATCAATAAAATATAAATCACCTGTAATCTTATCACATAAAGAGCAATTATTAGCTTTCTGGTGGGTGGCATCACTTCCTTGTCTCAGTAGCTGTCTGTAGTCTCAAATCTGTCCCCCCTCTTGAATCTCTCCCCTGAGCTCTAGACTGGTGTATTTGCTTCCTCAGTCGCCATCTTCGCTGGCTTGTCCTGGCAGCATCTCAAGTCCACACGTTCTAAGCAGAAGTCCCCATCCTCCTCCCTCCTCACTTGCACCTGCTCCTGTGTCCTTTTCAGCAATTGTACCACCATCCACCTGGTGACCTAGGTTAGAAATGATCCTTAGCTTCTCTTTCTTCCTTGCCCTCATATCCAATCAAGATTCTGTGGTTTCCTCCTCCTGCATATCTCTTTATTCTTTCCATGTCCCTTAATCAGCTGTGTCAACACTCTGGTCCAGACTCCATCACCTCTCTCCTGTAATATGGCAACAGCTTCCATGGGTCTCCATGCCTCCAGTCCATTCGCCACACTGTGGCCAGAGTGACCACTCAAGGAGGGGCAAGCTGTCGTATCACTCTATGAACTCAAATCCTTCAGCCCTTTACAAGGACCTTCCCGAAATGCCCCAGCCCCTGTTTAACCAGTTCCATTTAGAGCATTCTTCACTCTCCTCTTCACTTGGCTGGCCTCTACCCATCCTACAGTTCTCCATTGAGCCATCTTTGCCCCCCAAGAAGTTTTCCCTGACTCCCCTCTCCCCTGGAAAAGTCTAGCATGAGCCCCTCCATCCATTTCCTGTTTTCTCCTCACATCTGTCCTCTCTCCCCGTGAGCTCCCTGGGGCATGAGTTGTGCCTTCTTTGTCACTACAAGCCTGCTACCTTGCCCAAGCCCAGCACATGGGAAGAACTCTACAGGTACTGATGGATCCACTCAAATCAGGTCTAGGGTTCTATTCCACACAGAACTGGCGGAGGATGGGGAAACTGTTGGGAGACTCTCTTAGAGGGACACTTTTCCAGATTATCTTTTCTGAATCCGGTTCTTGAGCTCTCCCGGTGGCGTCCTCAGTGCAGACACCTGCTGATAGGGGGAAGTTTAGGGAGCAGAGCCGCCCCCCCTGGCCTCGTCCCTGCCGGCTATCATGGCTCACACAGATCCTGCCCTGGGGTTCAGCACCCAGCGGGTGGCGGCCATGATTTTGCCATTGCGCAGGCTGTAGATGAGCGGGTAGAGCAGTGGCGTGACGTTGGTGTAGGTCAGCGCCAGCGTGCGATCCTGCCGTGGGGAGTAGCTGGCCTTGGGCCGCATGTACGTGAAGGTGGAGCAGCTGTAGTGGAGGAAGGTGACGGCCAGGTGCGAGGCACAGGTGGAGGCAGCCTTGCGCCCGCCGCGTGGGGAGCGCAGGTGGCTCAGGCGATAGCGCCTGGCTCAGGCGATAGCGCCATGGAAGGCCAGGATGAGCAGCGAGGGCCGCAGCAGCAACACCAGGCAGGCGCCCAGCAGACGCAGCTCCTCCGCGTAGCTCTGCGTGCAGGCCAGGTGCAGCAGCGCTGTGATGTCGCCGAAGAAAGGCACTAGCAGGTGGGAGCCGCAGAAAGGCAGGTTGAAGACGGCCACCGTGAGCCCCACGGACACCGCCAGTCCCCCGAGGCAGCAGCAGGCCAGGGCCAGCCGCGTGCACAGCCCAGGTGCCACCACAGCCGCATAGCACAGCGGGTGTCAGATGGCCACGTAGCGGTCATAGGCCATAGCGGCCAGCAGGAAGCACTCGGCCCCGCCCAGAGCCACAAACATCTGCACCTGAACAGTGCAGCCCAGGAAGGAGATGGGGCTGCCCCGGCCACGGCCTGGCGAGGCCAGGTGGGCCAGGAAGCGGGGCACCACTGCCAGCATGTAGCAGAGCTCGATGGCTGACAGCTGGCACAGGAAGAGTAGCATGGGCGGCCGGCTGGGCACTAAGGCCACGGCCACCAGGATGAGCAGGTTCCCGCTCGGGGTAGCCAGGTGCACGGCCAGCAGCAGCAGGAAGAGCATGGGCCCCAGGTGGGGAGACTCTGCGAAGCCCTACGGGAGAAAGCCGCAGGGCATGGTGGCATTGCGGGCGCTGTCCACGCACTGGCTGCCCAGGGGTACCTGTGGGGAAAGAAATGTGGGAAGGGAGAGGTTGTGGGCTACGCTCCTCGGGCGCTGCTGGTGAAGAAAGGGCTGGGTGGAATTTAGAGGGTAGGAGGGAGTAGGGCTGCAGAGAGGGAGGTGGGTTGATGGGTCCATTCCCATCCCCCCTCCCCATGAGGGAGTCTTATTAACTTGTTCTAAACAATGGTCCAGTTTTTCCTGCCTCTGGGCTAGAATTCTTACAGGTGCTTTCTCAACATGCTGCTTCCAAAGAAACCTTGATTTTAGGCCCTTCCTTTACAGTACATCTCTCCTGACCTCCGCCTATGGAGAATCCCCTCTCTTCAGACTCCACGTATGTCGTGGGTCCTATACAGCCACCGGTATTAGTCCACCTCAGCCTCAGCTCCCCGAGGCAGGAACTGTGTCTTTAGGCTCTATTTCCTCCTCCCTGCTCTACTCTGCCACTTCTGAGTTGCTTGTCTAGTGTCTCAGAATCACAAAGACGTAATGCAGATGAGGATCTTAGCCATCATCTCATTCAGCCTCAAAATTTTAAAGAGAAAAAAAAAAAAAAAAAAAGCTGGGGAGGAGCAGGATGAAGGGCTTAACTGCTCACAGAAGGTTAGGACCAGAATCTGCATTCCTGAGGCTGAATCCAGAAATTCCCACGACCCCATCTGAGGTTGGTAAAAAAGGTCACTGGCACCAGTCAGTCAGTCCATATTGATTTAGCCTTAAATAGAGACCCGAGTCTGTGCCTGGCACTGAGGCAGACACTTAGGCAGCAGGGGATGGTTAGCAGAGAGGCCTAACCGGGCACATCAGGAACAATATGTCCTAACAGTCTTATTAATACTCTGCCAGCATGAGAAAAAGTGATGTGTATCTGTTTTAACTCGCCCTTCAGAGGGAGCAGTACATTCCAGATATGCTGTCGGAACACAGTCTCTTTCTAAGCATTATCCAGTGACTCATGCAGGCAACATTTGGAGAACATTTGATAGCATGTAGGTTGGCTGCAATTGTTATAAACCTCTGGAGTCAGGGAACATGAGGTGGTAAGAAATTCAAGGCCATGACAACTAGAGGAGGACGTTTGATTTTTCCAGTAGTTCTTAATGCTATCTCTTTTTAATTTTAATTGTAAGTTCAACCATTATTTCCTCTTAGTGACTCTGAGTCACTGTCTATAATCAGTGTTGGAAGTGGAGTTTGTGGCCGTTGTTACACTACAGAGTACAACGGCAATAAAGCTGGGCCACGGGCGACAGGTAAATTGGATGCAAGAACCAGAAAGAATGCAGAGAGCTTGGTTTTTGCTATTAATGCTCCTTTCTGAGATAGTTCTGGGGATTTCTATTTAGCAGCGTCAACCTGTGCTCTCTTTTTTGTCATCCGAGGGGAATGCCTTCAAACAGATGTTTGCATTGCAATGGAGGAGGAATAGGGTGGGGTTGTGGGTGGGTCTGAGGGATGTGGAATCACTTCCCATCATTTTCCCCCCAATATTCAGCCACCTGGACAAATTTAACAAACCTGCGTTGAGTGCCTCTTCCCTGCCAGGTGTCTTAGCTGTGGGTGTGACCAAGAGAGAGAAGGCTGACTGTCCTGGAAGTTCAGACAGGACGAAGCTGTTGAAGTAACCGGCTCTCTTCGCTCTGCCTCTGCTTACCCCTCGGTCTTTTACTTCTTCCTTTTCATCTCCTTAGAGAAGCAGGGTGTTGGGGGTAGAGAAACACAGACAGTACAGTTCTTTCGCCTTCATGCTCATGCTTCACAGAAATGGAGATGACGTGGAAGGCCGGGCAGTGGCTCCAGTAACTCTAAGCTCAAGGTATACCACGTTTACAAACAAGGCCATGGAATGCAAGCCAGACAGTTCAGTTCAGTCAAAAGGAGACTGAGGAGTATTTCTACTTTGTCTAGAGTTTTTAGGGAGGATTTGTCACAAACTCTAGGAATGTATGTTAGAAATGTCTTTTCCCTGGGAGGGAGAAGGGAAACAGACACTTTCACAACTTCAACAATTTGGTCTGTTCAAAACCAGGCTCCAGCCTAGTAGGAGAAGCTACAGAGGGAAAAGAAAACACCCCCTTCCTCCTCCAGGGCCAGAAGGTCTGTATTCTCACTCTTCAACAGTAATAGCTAGGAGAGTGTCAGGCAAATGCTCATAAGGACTTAATACATTTAACTCACTTAATCCTAGCAACAATCTGATGAGGTATGTGAACTCTTATTGTACCTATCTTACCGGTGAGGAAATTGAGGCCTAAAAGAGTTAAATGTCATGAAGCTAGTTAGCAGTAAAGCCAGGTTTTCACTCAAGCAGTTTAGTCCCTGCTAGTCCATGGTCTTATCCACTATACTGTCTTCCTTACTTATCACTCTCCTAAAAATTCTTCTCACATAAGACACAACCTCTTCCCACATCTCCTACCTTCCCCTGTCCAGAACTTACCTGTACTCTCCTAGGCATTTCTATTCTCAGATTTCCCTTTGCTGACATTTCTTCTGAGGACATGTGGATGTGAGCAGTAATACAGATCATCTAAGACAGCAAATCTAAAAATAATTTCTCCTTAGCCTTGACATTCTTCATTCCTGTTGTTACTGTTCTGACAGATCTGCTTTCCTAATTGTGTAAGGCTTCGTGGAGCACCCACAGATTAATGGCTGGCTGGTGGCCCGGGACATCTGGATGCGGCTGGAAGCCTTGCTGGGCTGGGGCCATAGATCTGGGATTTGATTTTCACTGTGTAGAATAATTAAAATTATCTGTAATAATGATGTTTTTTAATCAGTCATTTAATAGCCAATCGAAACACTTCTAAGGAGAGGTTGTGGGGAGATTTGAAAGGCAGACAGGTCAGGCTCCTCTGGGTCTTGAAGATTCCATAAAATGCTGAACTAGCTTGAAGGTCAAATGGTCCAGATCCTCATGCTATAGCAAGGGATGCCCCATAGAGGACATACAACCAGCCTGGGACCTCACCACTGTCTGTTGGCAGCAGAACTGGACTCTCAACTCCTGTTTGATGGTTCTATTTCTGCCAGAATTGTCTTCCAGAGTAGACCTGAGTCCACTGATCTAGTATTAAAATTGTTTACAAAAACACCAGAGGAGAGGTCACAGAAAAATCAGATCATTGTCCCATAGGAGGTTAAATTTAAAGTTGTACATATGCCTGAATTTCCATAATTTGACTTAATAACCTGTCATGAGCATCTGGTCTATGAATTTATACAAATTGTTCTGAAGTCTATTTTTGTCCAGTGCTTTTTTTTTAAGGGAAAACACACACCATGCATTCAAAAGATTTTTCCTTTTTCTTTTCCTTAATCCTCAGTGAGGTAGAAAGGCTCCCCACAGCCTAAATTTTTGCTTTGTTATTTGATGGGTGCTTGATTTGGGTTGGGGACAAGCTAATTAACACTTCGGAAACCTTGCCTCCTCACTGTTGAATGGGGGTGGTAACAAAGGAGGGACGTGTGAGTGTTCCGTGAGACAGCATGCAAAAACTAGCACAAAACCCCACACAGAGCAGGTGCACAACAAGACTAAAAAGTATTCTCATCTCTGTTCTTCATGCCTTGACAGGCTTAGATTGTATTTCTTCTGAATATTCATCTTTCCACCGTGAAAATCTCCTCACCCCTTGATGGTGTCTCTTCAGGTGCCTTTTCCGTCTTTCTGGGATCCAGGAAACAAAGGTATACGTAGTACTCTGGATTTAGGGAAGAATACTTTTCTCATGGGGAGAAAAGTAGAGATAGACATAAATAAGTCTATCTCTATCTTTGATCATTATCATTACCATCATCTTTCTCCCCCCACCTCTCTTTCTATCTTTCAACTTTTTTTTTCTCTTTGGTTTCCTATCATCTTTATAAGACTGTACAGACTATGGAAGAAGACATCTATGAATTCAAATCCTGGCTCAACCACTTACTAGCCACATTACCTGTGGGTAATGTACTCAATTCCCCTGATCCTCAGTCTCTTTACATCTAAGTGGAGATAACGGTATCTAATTCATAGGCATTCTACAAAGGAAGCTCACAGCACAGTGCTGGGCACAAAGCGGACATGAAGAGATGGTTATTGATCACATCATGTTATAACCCAACTTCTGCAGTATGATGTCAGCCTTTGGGCTCCACCTGCAGAGCAGCTGACAACTGTAATTACTATAATGACTCCTTTTCCTATGTCATGAGCCTTTTCCTTGGTTTATGACAGATAACTTGAAACTCAATTAACATATATTTGCATTATTATATATTTCAAATTTAGATGTGTGTTCTGAAATAAAATCCCTTGAATTAAAAAACTCATTTACCTTTTTCTTGCTTTGTCACGCAAAATTACATCTTTTAGTGTTTTTTTTTTTTTTCCTCATCAGTTTGGTAATTTCTTTACTCCAAGGAGCTAAATATCATCTTTGGTTGTAAAGATTTCACTGTGCTCCTTCTTCCAACCGTTTATAATCTCAGCCTCAACCCTGAGACAACCCTGGGACATGAGCCTCTTTTCTGGCATGATGTTTCTGTCTTGTGAACCAGTTTCTCTTACATGATAAAGCGGTCTACTGAGTCCGCATGACTAAATTTGGTAAGATAGCTTGTCAAAGCTTTTGAAAGTCTAAATAAAAGAAGTCCTTGCTAGTTTCTTGTTGGCATCTTTATCCCCTAAAAGCATTTAAGTAGATTTAATAGGGAATGTTTTCCTTACACAAACATTCTTGCTTTTCTCCTTCTACAGCATTTTCTGAAGTATTTGTTGATCCTACATGTTATAAAAATGAGATGCCCTTGATATTTCTGTGTCTGCTCTGGAGCCCTTCTTAAAATGATGGTTACAATTCTGAATCTTTTAGTTCTCTAGCTCTGGGTCGATATGTTACCTTGGGTTTTGCATTTTGGCCAACATTTTCTCCTCAGTTTCCTGACGATTCAGAGTTACATGACAATATGTGCACTTGTGTTAAGAGATCCCTGAATAGTTGCCACTGTTAGTTCTCTTTTCTCCAGAAATCAATTGTGGGATTAAAACTTTGAGTAAAGTGTCATTTCAGGTGCGCTGGTCTCTTTTATTTCCATCTGGAGAGGACATTTGAACCATACAAATCTAGGAGTCCTGCTGATTTTAGAGCTGGCTCTCTGCCTTTAATGCTTTTAAAGAAACTCTGCTTGAACAAAGCAGCACCCATTTAAACTAATATCTCTGACCCAGGCTTCCGCCAGAGGAAGAAGGATATGCTTCAAACATGAGCCCTTTAATCTTCAACATCAAAATTGTCCGGCAAAGAGACTGTCCCAATTCTGGAATTGTGAAGGTCAACTTTATCACACATAAATGCATGATCATTGTGCTGTTACATATTTTTTAAAGTATTCTAGGCCTGAGGGTCAGTTACTTTGTCTACTTGAATAAATATTTGCAGTTTTGCTCTATAAAAAATCTAATTTGGGACTTCCCTGGTGGTGCAGAGGTTAAGAGTTCGCCTGCTGGTGCAGGGGACATGGGTTC